TGGAGTTGTATGTGAAAAGCATTGTAATCACTCAAGATGCATAACAATATTTGCGTCGTATATTAAGCTAACAATCTAATACTGTTAATGATTTCATATATTAGTCAATTTTTTGCAATTTTTTCATATTTTGACAAATGCATATGTGTCAAAATATAACTACAAGTAATCATAAATATATGAATTATACGATGATAAAACCTATGGTATTTTTACTAAATAGTTCATTTTCTAATGACTTACTAAATCAGTTAAAGTTGGATTAGAGTGTTGCCATTCGTTATATATTCCTTATCATTGATCTGTAAAACTCCACTATTGAAGACTTGTTTTAAACTATTAACTAAAATTAATACATTGAAATAAAATAAAAAATGTATCGAATAATAGAATAATAGGTTACTTGGATTAAATCCGATTCAAAAACAACGTGGAATCAATTCCAAAATATTATCAAATAATCGACATTCGCGTTAGAACGAGAATATCGCATTTTGTCTCAACAAATCAATAAAAAAAAAATAAAAACACACACATAAACACAGTGAAATAAAACCATTTCGTTCGTTCGCTCTATTCACTCGTGCGCGCGAAATCAAATGACACAGCACGACGAAAGTTGATTTAGCGAATCGCATTTCTAGCAACGAAATCGTCGAGATATAGAGTATCTCGTCTGTCGGTGCACAAAAGAGCAGCAGAGTTAGCTGCCACGCGAATAAAAAAAAGCGATGGAAAATTAAACGCGATGTCCATAAAAACTCTATTCTCGTCATCGGAAACAAAGGGAGGGGAGGTGTATAAATAAAAGGCCAAACGACTGGACAAAATCTTTTGAAACAGAAGAAAATATGACAAACATTGCTAACGAGGGAAATACCTCTTAGCGTGCATAACAATGACGAATGCGACCTCGAAAGAAACAAGAGTTTGATTAAATGCCAGTGTGTGTGTGTGCTACGTTGCTGTGAGAGAAAGACGAATGGTTTGAGCTGGTTGGATGCGTATATGTACGTACGATGACGTTTCCGGTTTCCGCAATCTGCTGCGTGGCGCGAGTACCTGAAGAGGCTCGCTGGTCTGTGAGATGCAATTAGTCTCGCCTGCAGTCATTAGACTGTGCGATGCAACGCCGCTTTGCCAGTCAACTCAGCAGCGCCAGCGCCAGCGCCAGCACCAGCCGCATAAGCACTGCGCAAGCTTGCCCCCTGTCCATGTGACCATGCTGCAAGCATCTGTGTATCGGCTGCCAATCATTCGTGCGCTCCGATCCGTATCCTCCAACCTTGATTATTTGTATTTATACGAAGCTCTAATGGACATGTGGGTCGCTGCACTTCTTCTCCGCTACATTGGATGAGAATCTTTGAGTCTCGATTATTTTCTTCACTCGCGTATTGTGAGCTCATGAAAGCTCCGATGCTTCCTAAAGGAATGTTTCTCGAGTATTTTCTCGAGGTGCTGCTATTCTACGCCGTCTCATTTCTACGCTGCTTTTAATTACAAAATCACGACAGGGGAATAGTGTTCAAAGATTTAAAGCTACAGTAGTGGAGCAATACGTAAAGTCAGCCAAGTGAAAACAACAAAAGTTCAAACGAAAACAGAACGCGGCATCTTTTCTTTAAAAGAGTCTTTATCGTTTTTCTTGAAATCTTGAAAATGCCTCTTAGCAACTACCAATCTCTCATTACTTAACAAGCTCACCAAAACAAAAATAAAATATCAGGAATTCTGAAAAGCCATCAAGCTCTTAGAATTTCTAATCTGGTCTACAAGACAAACTGCCGAGATGATAATGGACTAAGGTGAACATCCTTGTGTATATTTCGTCCGCCGCGCTTCTTTGTGCTGGACACGAGCCAAGATTTCAAGACACGGAAATCAAGCATAGACAGAAAAAAAGAAGCATCCGGCACGAACTCGCGAACGATAATGAAGCTGATTGCAACGAAATTGAACAGTCCGCGCGTATACCTAGATATCAGTATATAGAGAGACGTACAATACTATACGACAAGAGAGCTTACGCGGCTCGGGTTCGCGTGTATATCTTGAGTCCCTCGGGGCAGATACGGAATCATTGAGTGCGTGGTATAGCTGAAGGGCTCTCAACAGATTGCTGTGTAATTGCTTGGGTTACCGTTAGATATGCTCGCGGACAATTTCACTTGCAGTTCCTATACACTACGCGTTCGGGATGAGGGAATGTGAGAATGCATCTAAGTGTACAACTTCCTCAAAATTTCCGATTTATCTGCAAATTATTCAATAACTCTTAACATTGAACGCAATTGCAAACGATTCTAAATGCTAAACGCGACACTGAACTGAAAATTTAAACACAATAGTGCAAGGGTAGAATGCAAGATTGCAGAGTTTTGTGCGCGCGTACAATCGGAAAGACGCCACTCGCCTGTTCAACAGCCCGAAGCGGTCTACCGCAACACGCCGCAAGAGCCAACCCCACCGAACTATCTTGATTTTTAAAACCCCTCTCCCTGGGCCCAGGAGCCGGGGCCGTCGTTTTTCGTGATTTCTAAGAGCGTAGGATCATTCTTTTCTTACAGTCAGCCATTCATCAGTTGACCTCGGTGACGCCAATAAGGAAATTAATCCAATCCTATTTTGAAAACGTCGTTTTCTCATGATGTTGCATGCGCAAATTTTAGCAGCGATCTTGATCTTAACTCATGCCTAATCCCCTTGTTGAGTGATACTAGACTGCGTGGAAGTAAAGTGACTGCCATTGTTTATCGCCGTCGCACTCTCGGTCAGGCGCTGGGCTTATGAACCTTTTCTTTATTTATTTATTTATTTATTTTTTTTTTGTACAAAGCGACAAATTTAAGAGAGTCGGACAATTATCTCCAAATGTGCGTCGCTTATTTTCGTATTTTTAATTTTTCTCGCGCGACCTGCTGTTGCCTGCTGTTATCCGGAACGCACCAACCACCGTAGCGCACGCGCCTCTCTTGTTCAATTGAGCTTAACGCTCTCCCTCCCTCCCCCCTCTCTCATTCTCGTCCGTAACAATTACATTATTGATCATTGTCATTGTACTGATCGTCAATTCGAGTGATTAAAATTGATATTTTTGTTTACCTATAAATATGGTTTTTGGGGGAATCATACGAAGCACATTGAACTTTTTTTTTATTCAAGCATAAAACAGTGTAAAAATAAATGTGAATCATTATGATTATTTTCTCGAGATAATATTGTCGTTATACCTATGGCGTTTTTTTTATGACATTGCAAAGGCACACAAAAGCCCAAGTATCGCATTATTGGTGACCCAATCGATCTTGTGTGCATAAACGTATCACTGAGAAGATTTCCGAAGGGTAGAAAAAAAGCGAAAAGTCGATAAAATGATAATGCACATTGTCAAGCAGACATTCAAGGTATTCTCGCGTATATACGATAATAAATTGTATTTTACGTATTTATAAGCAAGATGTCGCAGATTTTTCACATTCCTTTGAATATAAAGAATCTCGATTGAAAAATCAATAACATAAAAAATCTTAAAAGATGAAAGGATTTTTTGTTCGTTAATAATTTAAGATTTAATCGCTCTTGAATTCCGTAAATATAAATAACGCACGGCCATTTAATAGTAAACCTTGCCTTTTATTGCAAATATGTTTGATTTATCGATACTTTGAAAACATTACGCTGAAAATATTTTATATGTTCACGGTACGTTGCGGCTTTTGTTAGTTTATACTCTTATATTGATATGACAATCAAGCCATTACAATTTCGACGTTTCAATACATCATACAAATCGAGTCCATAAATATGGACTCGATAGTACGCATACAAAAATAAAAAATTTTTTAACTGCTAACACCATACTTGTAAATGTCGACGAGCTCCTCCACTATTGTAATATTATTCAAAATACGCGAAAGCTACCACAAAGTATCCTTAAATAATTATGAAATCTTTTAAAAAACTACATTCAAGTACCGTAAAATTCTTAAAAGTACGAAGGAGCTGGCTCAATGTATACGAGTTTTGTCTTAAAAACGGAACTTACGAAACTAGCACGGTGCTGCAGTCACTTATACCAGAAAGTTGAGAAATTAGCCGTTAAAGTTAATAGGGCTGAGAGCGCGCAAGGCGACCTCAACTGTAGAAATAATCAGACTGAAACTTTTCCGCGTAATATCGCAGCATAAAAAATAGTGTTTCTTGAAATTCTCGCGATCTTTCTGCAACGAAAATCTCTCAAGCAAGAGCAAAAAATGCAATCGTTCTCTCTTTTTTATCTATTTCGCGAGAACGTTTCCGCGCGCATTTCAATCACTCTTTCCATTCAACAAATTACATGCCGTTAGCGAAGTAACATACGATATTTTGAAAGTCTACGTTTTTTCCAATAATGGGATTGAAAAGTAGGCCAACAGCACTGGAAGAAGGAAAAAACTTTGCCTCGCGCTATTTGCTACTTCTTAGCGCGCGCGCGCGCCTGTATTTGCACGGGGTAAGAGCGCTTCACTGGGCTCGACTATTTCCGTACGTCAACATTTTGAAAATAATATATTATTCGGCCGAGACGTTTACAATAAATCAGAGAGAGATATATCGACGATACATTGATAAATCGACTAATGTTTTGGAGGAAAAATTAAAAAAGACAAGACAAGGGAACCAAAAAAGTTGAAAAATATCCTTCTCCCAATCTATTAGCTCGTTCCATCTTTTTTGTCCAGTAGTCCTACAAAGAAAATAGATTCTCGAGAGAGAGTGCGAGAGAGAGAGAGAGAGAGAGAGAGAGAGAGAGAGAGAAAGGCATAATTAGAGCTGAAAGCGGCAGCTAATGTGGCTAATCAAAAGCGAGTAACAATCCATTACACGACCATTATGCCAGGCCTACCTCCCCAATTAGGCACCCCGGCATAGCTGGACATTATATAAGCGATAAGCGAGAGCGAAATTAAAGCAACGCTCCTGTACTCATATGTACATGTGTGTCTCTTTGATTGCAGGTGAACACCCTGCGGCGATGCAGCACGGCAACACAGCAGCCGGTTGGCCAACATCGCGAACGATTCTCTTGGGTTTGGCTTTCTTCCTTGGCCAGCTGAGATAATGTGCGGGCCGTGCGGCACGACCGAACTAAATCGACGACCCGAACAGCAAATGCTCGCAGAAAATAACGATAAAAAATGAAAGAAAATGGAAAAAATGCGTCAACTGTCTTGCTCCGTCGTGCGTCATCGCCTGCAGTAAATAGCACGGCGACGCTTCCTCGCGACATTCACTTGTCTCTCTTTTCGGCATTCGTCGTCGACGACGAGGAGTGAATAGACAAAGACGATGGGAAATCACTACTTTCCCGGAGAAGTGAAGAGGAGCCTTGAAAACGCTCTGGGAAGAAGCTTTGAATGGCAAAAGCCAACGGCAAAGGACTAGCGAGTGAAAGAGAGAGAAAGAGAGAGAGAGCCTGACTTCCCTTGCTGTCTTTTGCCGAGCGCATAACTGAGACCATTGAAAGGATTAGACTGTTGTATGTATGTGTATATGCGTGACTGAGTGCAAAAGCAAAATAAAAATAAAAAGCGATTTGTCTGGGTGCGTATGTGGGTGTATGTATGTGTGTATGTATATAGAAGAGAAAAAGAGCTCGATCGGGTTGTGATCAGTCATGCGAAGAGCGAAAAAGACAAACTAGTGTTCGCTCTTTTTCGCAAAAAAAACCGAGAGTTCTGTGTGTGTGTGTGCGTGTGCGTGCGTGCGTGCGTGCGTGCGTGCGCGCGCGCATATGTGTATATGTTATTGCGTGTATTCGCGCAAATTCCATGCGCCGCAAGACCTTTCTAGTGTTACACATATATGTATGTTCACCAGCGAGACACTATTAAAAACCGTGCACGCACGCGTAATTATACATACGAAGAGAGAAAAAGAGATATAGATATTATTAATGATGATTACAAGAACGACAGAAGACACGTACACATCGTTTATGAAAAGATATATTATATGATATACAGAAACAAAACAAACACGTAGGGTTTTCTTAGAGTGAAAGAGAACTAAAGTGTATTTGCGTGATAAAAAACAAAGAGAGAATGTTCGATGAGTTTTTCATTTTTTTGTTTTATCGTAAGTGTCTAAGATACGAAAAAAATGAAAAAAAAAACAAACTTCGAGACATTTAGTGTATACCCTTTAAACGCCCTTTCCAAATGCGACACTCTTCGACACCATCTTGTACATAATATTTTACTCTTGTAAATAAAAAAAATCGATCCTTACGATTTAAGTATTTTATTCATATCATATTTTTCCCCATTTTTCCTGACGATGAATTTTCATTTTATTTGGTATTCTACATTTACAAGTACATATATTCCATTTACGTATTCCATTTAGTACATTTACAAGTATATATACACGGTATTTCAAAGTTTGTAGCTTCTGATCTTATACTACTTTATACTAGTTAGGTGTATTTTATTGAATCACGTGTATAATTGAAATAAAAAATTGACTCGAATATTATATCAAATATTAAAATGTTATGGTAAATTACGGCACAAGTATCGGTTCGCTTAGGCGTCAACGCCACTCATGACAAGAATTTACTTTTCCGGACTGTATCGTACGGTATTTTCTCTCACTGATATCGAAATGTATTATTCTCATACACTAAATGGAAAATTCGATTTCGAGTATGTTTTTGGCCAAGCGTGCGGAAGCTTTGCGCATGGAGTATCGAAATAATAATATTCTGTAAAAAATCCTAGTTAAATTAATGTATTATTTTGATGTTATTTGATTATTTGACAAAGTTTGTATCTTGCAATTTTTTTCATATACATCTCCGTGAATATAAAACTTTAAATTTAAATAAATAATTTTACTTGTTTTCAATGAATTAAAAAAATCTTTTCAACACTGTCTGCGGAGATTGTAACTTTCTCGCGCGCTCGGCGAAAAACGTGTGCTTGAATTTGTAATTTCCACACGTTGTTTTGAATGAAAAAACTACGTAGCTAACATATCCGGAAAAAAAACTCTGGTTTCGTGTGCCTTTCCTAATATATGTTACACGAGACAAGAATCTACTTTTTTTACGCTATTAGGTACACGAATAATATACACTTTTTCTAAATCTCGTAATTCAAACACGTTAAAAATAATAATGTCGGCAAAATAAAAAAACAATAATACATATCGCACCTACAGCTTCTAACGCAATACTCAAATAAGAGGCTTTCTACAAAGACACATCGGAAGTCGGACAACGAATATCGGACACGTACCGAAATCATAAAGATAAGAAACAAATTATTTATTTAACATATGCATTCGTCCGTAATTACGCAGGATGCGAGTAATCATAAAAAATATAAATCTACTATATTAATATTATTGTTACAATAACATATTATTTGATTATTTTTTTTTATCATGGTAAACTTCTGATAACCGATGTTCGACGTCCTATATCCGCTTATGTAGCAAATCTCTAATAGCGGCAGTAGTGTTATAAAAAAAAGCACGTTGATTATCGAGTCATTGTTTTGTTCTTTTCGCCATTATTGTCTCTCCTACAAGGCGCTAGTTGCGCTAGGCGCTCTCGAAGTTCTTGATGGGTCGGGTTGGATGGGCGCCTGAAAAGAGGTTAGATAACTCTTTTAGTGTAGAAAAAAACAAACCAATTTTTTTTTATTTTCACCATTATTTATTTCTCAATACGATCCTATACTAATCACAAGTGCCATATCCTTGCATATAAGCGTACAATAAGCCGTAAAAATGTGGAAGTTCGTAACATATAGTATCCGCGAATCCTTGGAGCGTCGAGTTTGTCGCACTAATGTTTATTCTCAAAGCTCTCTGGATAGGACGGGAAATAGTTGTGAACAAAATCTATCAAATGTAAATGAACGCAAATATATAGCACCTAGTCTTTCGTCTTTTTATCACGGTTACTGCAGCAATGCTAAGCATTTGGGCACCAAGGAAAAAGAGGGCCATAACAAGTATGATGCAAAATACACCTGGACTGATGCTGTTGGTTGGGTAAATTAACATGCAATCCTATATTTACACATATTCAGTTTTTTATTTTTTTCATTTTTTTAGTTTTCCTATTACTGAAAAATTGATAAAAACTTATCAAAGTGAATATTAATATAATAATATATTTTAATAACGTTAATGTTTATGAAACAAATTTTTCAAAACTTTGTAGATTTTAAATATCTATCAAGAATTTTTATCCCTATCAGTCATTCATTAAAAAACTTATTCACTCTTCCAGTCTAGTATACTAGCTGTTGGTTACGTTGTATGCCAGTCTCTCTGTATTCGTCGAAAACTATTTGAAATAGATAACTCACATTTGGATAAATGGCGTACCAGGTTAATAACAAATCCAAAAAATCAAGCAACTCAAATCCTTAGCCACTTATTATTACCTCAACCAAAATACATTTTATCAGGAAACAAAAAAAATAATGAAACAGAAGACACAGCTAAAGTATTGATTGACAATGCACCGAATGTTGAGAATGCTTATGGTCCATTGACTGCTAAAGAAGTATAAATGCTACAACAATCAATCTAATTAATTTCTGAAAACTGAATCTAAATGAAAACTGTGAAATCTTATTCATATTTCAGACTTTAGAAGAAGCAGCAAAAGAATTTTCGTCCATACATAATTCTATTATAGGTAATCTGGAATTGAATTTTGGATCTAAAGCAATAGAAGAAGAGAGATACAATGATGCATTTGAACACTTCAACAATGGTGCTCAATTTTCATCTGCTGGAAGTATGTTCAATTTAGCCTTATGCTATGAATTAGGATTAGGTACTTCAAAAGATTATTCAAAGGTACATTTTAGAAATTATATATTTTAATATTCATAAATTGAGATAATTTATAATTTCTTTATTCAGGCTGTACAATATTACAATCAAGCTGCTGACAGAGGTCATCCAGATGCTATGTACAATTTAGGTGTTTTTCATGCTCAAGGAAAAGGTGGTTTAAAAATCAATCTAGATATTGCTCATCAATTGTTTACTGCAGCTGCCCAAAAAGGGCATAGCCAAGCTATAAAAGCATTGCAGTTAGAAAAGTCTTTTAAGAAGCGTTCCAATTTAGAGCACAATACAAAGTACAGTATTCAAGCAAAAATCATGAACAGTAGTTTAGGTACAGATAGACCAGTTACAAAATTGACGAATTATAATTCTTCCATGAAAAGTACTTATAATCAGAAATATCAATTTGATCAATATTTAGACAGCTACAATGAACATTTGGAACCAAAATCTTCTACAGATACATTCTTAGAAATGCTTGGTATTCATGAACGAAATGCCATACCTCTTATTTCTGTTGGAGAAAATGGATCTTAATATGATATTTTAACTAAGATAATTTAATTTCAAAGTTTTGTCATTTTATTTTCAAGATAATTACTTTATATTACAAAAAGCGCATTATTTATCCTTTTTGGCATCATTTGTACATATATAACTACCTACATTGATTGTTTATGTAAAAGTAGAAATACAATTTAAAATAAGCAACAAAACTACTATATATAGAATCAAAATTTTATTTTCAGATTGTTTGGACATATTGTTTAGTTTGCAATAACGTTCCGTACTCTATTACTTTAAATGTTTTACATTGTTTTTCTTGATTATTTGACTGCTAAAATGCTGTAAATAATATGCTTCATAATGACTGTTCAAAAAAGAACTGTTAGAAATATCCTATATCCTATATTAGATTGTATGAATTTTATTGTAGAAATAAAAAATTTTTAGGAAAGCCAGAATTTTATTGTAAAATTATTTTTACATATAATTAAAACATTCCATTACAACATTCTAAAGCACGATAAATGACAACGTTACCAATGAGCTGCTTTCTTTTCTGCGACTTTTATTACAAGATCCTTGTGACTAGCATAAAGTATCAATTCATTATTAATGTCTATCCACCTAACATTTTTCGCATCATCACCAGCTTCAAAATTTATATTTTCAACAATCTTTCCAGTATTATCATGAAAGTTGTAAGCAACTGTTTCCATCCAAGCATTGTCTGTATTCCTTGGATCATCAACATATCCCTTATAAATTTCTTCACCCTGTTCAAAAAACTTTCTAATTAAAGTTTCAACACGCTCCATTTCCTGTGAATTTTTCATAAGAGAATTAGTAGCTTCTTCCATAAATTCTCTACGCAATGTAACTGATACTTTTTCTCCTGGATCCACCATTCCTCCTGGTATAGCCCACTCTCCTGAATCATTCCTCTGTATACCAACGAATTGTAATATTGGCTTGTTTGTAATTTCATCTAGTTTTACTGAATTATCATTTAATTTTTTCCACCTGGTAACTATTGGATCTGCAGCATGATTTGGTCCCCATCGTCCTAATAAACCTCTACCTATCATACCAGTTCTACCAAAAGGATTTTGGGGGTAATTATTATTATCAATCGAATACAGACCATTGTAACTTATTCGATTAATTTGTCCTAAAACAATCAAATATTTTTTCTTTTATTTATTTCAACTAAGTTTGTTGGATTTGAATTACTTTTGAATTAGAATTATGTACTAATTTTCCATGACGTATTAATAAAAAAGTTATCATTAAATTTACCATTGCCATCAAGTTCATTCCATTTTGGTTTAAAATTTGGATCTTCTATAATTGGATCTGCCCATGGTTTTTCTTTTAGTCCTTCAGAAGTATAGTTAATTGGAGAATATTCAGGATATTCTACTGTCCAAAGCACTTTATCATCTGGTACTGAAAAACGTTGCAAATTTGTTCGAGGGTAAGTAGTATTTCTACATTTTTTGTGAAGCATACCGAGGATTGATCGTTTCATAAATAATAAAACTAAAACTAGAATCAACGCACCTGTAATGTAAAATGCACAGTTAATATATTAAAATGTCCCTTTTATCAATAAAATTATTTGCAAATATTTTTTTACAAGCAGTGCATTTACGTACTATAGTATTTCATTTGTTTAAAATAAGTGTATAATTATTTCTCATAATTATCAAACATATGTCACTGCAAAGACAAATATTGATAAATTTTTCCAACAATACGCTATGTTTATTTTTGCGTGGCAACAACGACACCACTAAAGTAGTCGATTCACTCGCCAATTCAGAGCTTAGTAGTCGATTTAACTTATCAAAGTGTAGAAGGCACTTCCTTATTTACCTTCCACTTCTTCCCAGCAACAGCAAATTTACCCCTTACCCTTTATTCCTCTTACCAAACACATATTCTCATCTATGTATGTGTATCCCTCCGATGACCTACACAAGTTTGTTCTACTTGTACTTGCGCGCGGCATTTCGGCTTTTGCACGCGTACATGATTACACGACGGTTTCATATGACCGTTACGACTTTTTGGCGGTAAACAGTTGTGAAGTGCTCTTTTTTCTGAATTTAATCTTCAAGTAAATTAACAATAGTACGTAAGATATCAACTTTTTCGATTCAGTCAAGAATTATTGTTTTGTTTAGCGTACTTTCTGTATCGTTCGTTATTTAATAGAAGCTAACCTCTTTTCAGTGCCTCCTAAAAAAACTAGGAAACGTCCTGCTTCTTCATCTGAACAAGATGCTGGACCAAGCATGAAGACTGTCAAACGCTCCAAAAGCATAAAATCTAAGCCAATAAAAGAGGAAAAAAATATAAAAAATAGTAAGTTATTAACTTTTCTTATTTTGAAACTTTAATTTTTGGTTATGTGTAATTCATAACGCTATTAAATTCATGATGTAACTATTATTTAGTAATTTTGATTATTACTTCAATTGTATTTATTGTCAACGGTATTTATTGTTTTCAATTTGCATTCAGTAAATACGCTATATATTTTAAATTTGTAAATTTCAATTTACATTTATATTCAACAGTGTCGATAAAGTAGTATTCATTATGTATCATTGTATTTTGTAACTTGTATCCACATTTTTTGTTCATTACAGATTCAAATCCAAGACTTTTACTTCGTGAAATCACTACTGGAGGCATCGTTCTTACATGTGGTCAAGGGGATGTTGGACAACTTGGTTTAGGGGAAGATATTTTAGAAAAAACACGTTTTTCTGCAATTCCAAACTATACAAACATTGTTGCTATTGCAGCTGGTGGTATGCACAATGTCTGTTTGACACAGGATGGTAAAGTAATAACTTTTGGTTGCAATGACGAAGGAGCGCTAGGTAGAAATACATCTAAAGAGGGCTCCGAAACAATACCAGGATTTGTTGATTTGCCTGCTCCAGTCATTCAAGTAACAGCTGGTGACTCCCACAGTGCAGCACTTTTAAATGATGGACGAGTGTTTGTTTGGGGTTCCTTCAGAGTAATGATCAACTGAATCATTTATGTTTCTTCTAATATTGAGTGATCAAATATGACTAAATGCTTTAAAATTGTAGGACTCTCATGGTACTATGGGGCTGCTTACAAAAGATAATGAAAAGATCCCAGTAGAAATTTCTATGAAGGAAAAATGTATAAAAATAGCATCAGGTGCAGATCATTTAGTATTATTAGATAATACAAAAAAGGTACATACTTGTGGTTGTGGGGAACAAGGACAACTCGGTCGGTTACCTGAAAGAAAGACTGACAGAGATACAAGTCGACTAGGACTAAAACACTTACTTGTACCAAGTCCAGTACCTTTTAAAGTAAATAAACACATTGAAGCAGAAAATATATGGGCTGGTACATATGCAACATTTGTAAAAGATACTAACAACCAGGTACATGTGTTTGGCTTGAATAATTACGGTCAAATTGGTAGGTCCAAATTATTTATTTATACTTAATTTTTTTTTAAGTCTTTTTTTCTTAATCTTGTTTTTTTTAAAGGGCTTAAAGGAGTTGACAAACTTTTTCATCCCAAAGTATCAGATGAATTGAGCAATAAAAATTGGGTTCAAATCAGTTCTGGTCAACATCACACTATTGCTTTGGATGACGAAGGAAAAGTTTACGTTTTAGGCCGTAAAGAATATGGACGTCTAGGTTTAGGACCCGTTAAAACTGATGCAGAACACTTAACACTTATACCTGCACTTGAACAAATGAAAATTGTTGATGTTGCATCTGGTAGTGCTCAATCTTTTGCTGTAACTGAACAAGGTAAATGCTGAATTAAACAATAAAATGTTTAATCGTTTTCATTAGCTTAACTGACATTTTAATTATTTATATTATTTTACAGGACGATTATATGCTTGGGGAATGGGAACTAGTTGTCAACTTGGAACTGGAGAAGAAGAAGACGTTGAAGTGCCAACAGTGATCGAGTCAAAACAAATTCGAGATGTTAAAGTTCTTCGAGTTTCAGGAGGAGGACAACATACTATAGTTCTTGGAGTACAATCAGTAATGAATCATACGGCAGGCAATAACGATTCCGACAAGCAATAACAGTGCGGAATTTCAAATTCATAAAATATGTTACTTGTGCATAATCAAGATTACAATTAATGAGAATTGACCATCCTAGAAGTATTTAAGTACTGGAAATAATAAATGACTAAACCCTAATCTAATTATTAAGAACTACCATTGTAAGTCTAGTGCCACTATAGTACATTACGATACAAGTGCAGGAAAGTAGAAACTCTTTCCCGAACATGTGCCGTACCGTATTTTTTGATATGACATGTGGAAAATGCAATTTTCAATGCACGTTTTCTTATTCTTCTCTCACGAGCATGCGGGAAAGACGCACTTTGCGCACAGAGTATCGAAAAAAGTTTAATGCAGAGTTGAATGATACATCAATAATATTTCTTAACATTTATACAACTTTTATGAGATAATTGTAAACATCGAAGCATTTTTTGTATTTCTCAATTTAATATGTCATGAACTTTTACACAAACTACTTTTTGTTATAAAAATATTTACTATAATAATGTAATCCTTGAACTTATGTGGCTTACGTAGTATGTTCCTGCGTTTTAATGAATGCAAGATATTAGGTGATTTATTGTAAGCATAAGAATAATTTAAAGGATAATGAAGTTCTTGTTGAATAATTATCATGTGTGAGTAAAATTAATTTTTCTACGTTCATTCTTTATTTCTATTTACATCTACCAATACGTAAATAGTGCCATGATTAATATATACTAATCGTTAACAAATTTGCACAATTAAGGCATGGTTGCCTTGTTACATTTGCACGCTATTTTCAATATTTAAAAAATTATTTTGCATTAGATAGAACAATGAAAGTGTGAAGAAATAAAGATGTTTTAATATAAAATGTTTTATTTTATTTTAATTGTGTTTATTTTGTTTGTGAATGAATTTACTTGAGTATTATTTAGATCTTCAAAATTACAAAATGGATTTTATTTCAATCAAGAGTTTTTATTGGCAGAAAAATATTTTCATTTATTTTCATCATTTATTTATTTATTATTTAGATTTAAAAATATATATATATATATATATGTGTGTGCGTGTGTGTTATATATTATATCATAAAGAATTATCCAAATAACTTTTCTATTATGTACTTCATTGTTAGCGTTTGAACCTTGAGGTGAGTAGACGTGTTAAAACTGCGCTCTACCGGAAAAGTCATAGTTATAGCAATAGCATATCAAGTGAAGTGACAGTTAAAGGTGAAACATATTTATATAGAACCGCAAAACAAGACGGCCGAAATGGCCATAAAAGCAAGTGATGATTCGACATCCAACAATAAAGATAAACCTGGAGAATGGAAAATCGCTTTTAATAAAAGAAGTCCAAGCAGTCCAGGCAATGAAACACAAATTATACAAACTATCAAACAAGCAAAATTAGGTCAAGTCAAGATAAATCAAAACTCAACAAAGCAATTAAAGTCCTAAAGAAAATGCTACAAGAAGAAAAAAATACCCAAACACAAAATTATCTTAGAACACTAAGTCCAACAGAAGCAACAGACTATTCACTATGGAAAGCCACAAAACGACTTAAAAGACCAACAACATATATACCGCCTATTAGAAAACCGAATGGTGACTGGGCGAGATCGGACGAGGAAAAAGTTGAAACCTTCGCAAACCACCTTGGCACTGTATTCCAGCCACACCAAAGAATAATTACCAAACGGGAAGAAAGAATTTTACTAGAAGTATCTGATGCACAAGATAACACTCCGATCAAATCGATAAAAATGAAGGAAGTATTACTTATTATTAATAATATTAAAAACAGAAAAGCTCTCGGATTTGATAATATTACGGGAAAAATGATTAAAATGCTACCCAAAATTGCGATAAGATACATAACGATCGTTTTTAATGCATGCTTGCGTCTCTGCTATTTTCCTTCCCAGTGGAAAGTAACTGAGATTATATTAATACATAAACCTGGAAAACAACCAGAACTGTTAACGTCTTATAGACCGATCAGCCTTCTACCAGAACTTTTCAAGTCAAAATAAACAAGTGTAAGTCAAAAAATCATCTAATAAAGGCAGGAGTACCACAAGGCAGTGTTCTTGGCCCAACGCAATATCTGTTATACACCTCAGACCTACCAATATCAAATAACATCGTCACAGCAACATATGCAGATGACACAGCAATTCTATCTGTACAACCAGAGGCAATAGCAGCATCCAAAACAATTCAAAATTACATGGATAATCACCTCCAAAATTGGCTTAACTCGTGGAGAATAATAGTTAACGAATAAAAATCAGTTCACACCACATTCACCCTCCGTAAAAATACGTGTCCATTCATTATACTTAATGACAAATACATACCGCAAAAAGACCATGTCAAATACTTAGGCATCCATTTGGATAGAAGGTTGACATGGAAACAAACTCTTGTTATACAAAGCAGCACTCAAGCCAGTCTGGACTTATGGCATCTAACTATGGGGAGCCGCTTCGAACTCGAACATCGAAATACTGGAAAGGTACCAATCGAAAGTCCTACGCAGCATAACAAACGTGCCTTGGTTCGTGCCAAATGAGATCCTTCGAAAAGACTTACAGATTACAACAGTAAAGGAGGAAATAATTAATTTCTACAAAAAATACCACACCAGACTGCAAAACCACTCAAACGAACTTATTAGCAAACTGCTCTCTGAAGAGATTACCAACACTAGACTTAAGAAACATTAACTGATGAACGACGAAATAGATTAAGTTAATTATGTAAAAACTGTAAACAAAAACAGCATACTCACTAGAGTGTTCTGTTATTTAGATTGTGTATGTCAAGTAGTAGAAACATTTGCTTATTGTCTCACTATGTGAGAGAGATTGTAAATTTACATGGAGTTAATATAAAAAAAATGTACTTCATTGAAAAGCTGTTTGATCATTATACAAACGAAATGATAAATTCTTACAACTTGAAAAAACAATATCCTGAAAGATATATAAATATATATAGGCTAGTATATATATTCATATGCAAAAGGTAAACATTGTTTTTATTGGCTTGAATAATTATATATGTTATATATGCAGTAATCAAATTTTAACATAAACAAATTAAACTTCTCGTTTAGGGAAGAAATTTTTCGAAGTAATTTTATAATTATTATAATTTTATCTATATTATTTCATTCAGATAGTGGTTAATAGTATTTGCGTTTAATGATCATGAATGAATCATGAAAAATAGATATTTAGATAAGGGAATAAATATATTGAGTTTTATTGACATTTTAAAATTTTTTTATTAGCATATAAATGAGGCAGTAAAAATTATGGTAATTCTTTTAGTCATTCGCAATAGTGACTTCAACCTCTACACCAGGTTCGATGTTGATACTTGTGATCTGTTTAACAATTTCAGAAGGTGAGTAGAGATCTATGACCCTTTTGTGAATACGCATTTGGAAACGATCCCAGGTTTTGGAACCTTCACCGCAAGGTGTTTTACGTGTTGTAATCCTTAGGATCTTAGTAGGCATACGTACAGGTCCCTTAACTTTGAGCTTCTGTTTCTTTCCTCTCTGAATCAATTCAGAGCAAACTAAAAATAGCAATGCATTAAGAATCTGAAAGTTCTTTATGATTTTATTTATGAGTACTTTTTTTATTTATTATTACCTTTCTCAAGTGAACGGACATTACGAGAAGTCAGAGTTATTCTGATTCTGTGGATAGGAGCAGTTTCTGCTACTGGCTTTTCAGGGTTATCAACTTTCAAACTAGCCTATAAAATACAAATATTTTATTAAATAAATTTTTAATATTAATTTTCGAGCTAAACGTTTTCTTTAAAAAAATACGAGAAAGCTTTGTTAAATCTATTATTACATCATGTACATATACGTATGAAGATGGGCATTTTCTAACCTATGCAAAATATTATCGTGGTTGATGCGCAAAGAATACGTACACATTTTCGTAAACTTATATATACTTAAATATACATACAAAATCTATATGACTGAACGACTTACCATTATTAATGTTTAGCTTATTTTATTGAAAGATATTTTTTCTTAAAAGAAAAAATTTGACCGCCGATCCAGTGTTATTACACACGATGCCACATGGAAAGAAAAGAAATATATCGAAGAGCGCCAGTTTAGACACTTATGTTTCCCGATAACATTGAAATCTTGTTTATCTTTTGAGATACCAATTCAACCCCATATACCTATAGGCGGTATTCTAGAGGACTGCGAAGATAGCCCCCGGGTTTCCATGGGAAATTGTTAGCCAAAAAAGGAAAACGGCATTAATTGCTCTAATTGTCCCTGATGTACGTGGTAATTTTCTATTTACAATTAATCAACGAGAAATAGGGGAAAATCGCATTTTCCGTTTACCTACTCACTGGCTGATTTCTCCAGAATTTATTATTCGATTTTTACGGTTCAATTCTTAAAATTAAGATTATAATTTCCCACGCCACCCCCCCCCCCCATATTTACGTTAATGCTAAATATTATTAATTTTAAATAAAAATTCACAATAACATTGATGCCCCGAGTGGCGGGAAAACTGGTTCATTCCGTATTTCTACGTTTCGTGGACCAAGAAGCAGAGAGTATTATATCAGGGTCTGTCTCCATAGGGCCTGCCTGAGTCCGTCCGAGCCGGCCGAGATTTTTTATGGGCACGCCATCTCTATAATTTCGTGTTCATGCGTTTCTCGTATTGGCTGCGTCCGATCGGGCTCGTTTATGTAAAGGCAGCCATTCACTATGAAACTCGCCATTGGATACGAAATTATAGAGATGGCGTGCCCATAAAAAATCTCGGCCGGCTCGGACGGACTCAGGCAGGCCCTATGGAGACAGACCCTCAATGAGTTAGTGTTATATACGTCGTATAGACTTTAGTCGGTTTGAATCTAAGAGCTACATTTTTTCTTATTTGCAGTTACGCATTCTGTTCCAGCAGTGACAAAAATATCTTTCAATAAATCTAGGAATTCTTGCAAACTTTCACACTGGCTTAGAAGGATTATTGACTTTGCGTAAAAATCTCAGTGATTATTTGTTTTAAAATAATTTCTTTCAATAAAGCAACGTATAACAAAATTAGCATCAAATTTGATTGCAATTTTTATTGCCTGTACTAAATCCATAGTTATATTTTGTAAGCACATACGATGTACTCGTCACAATTTTTGTTGTATAAAGCTATACTTAATCCATCCATTATTTCTTTTGAATCAGCGTATATAAAATTTGGAAAATAAATTGTTTTCTTATGTCGAAAAAGTTCTAATAAAAAGTAGCATACATCAAAATTATCTTCAGAACGATGATAAAATATTTAATTTGAAATAAATAAAAGTACCTAATACCTATATAGCCAACTCCCCGGCTACGCCGTGTATAATACACTCTGCTTTTTGGTCCACGAAACGTAGAAATACGGAATGAAACAGTTTTCCCGCCACTCGGGGCATCAATGTTATTATGAATTTTTATTTAAAATTAATAATATTTAGCATTAATGTGAATATGGGGGATGGCGTGGGAAATTATAATCTTAATTTTAAGACCTGAACCATAAAATTCGAATAATAATTTCTGGAGAAATCAGCTAGTGAGTAGGTAAATGGAAAAATGCGATTTTCCCCTATTTCCCGTTGATTAATTGTAAATGGGAAATTACCACGTACATACATCAGGGACAATTAGAGCAATTAATGCCGTTTTCCCTTTTTGGCTAACAATTTCCCATGAAAACTCGGGGGCTATCTTCGCAGTCCTGTATTCTGGTCAGTGGACCGGATATATTTTTCAGTAACTTAACCTTCTACAGGTGTCTAAAACACGTGTATTTAACTAGAATACTTGCTGGTTCAGCGCTGATCAATTTTTCAAAAAGATTAATTGATTATCTCGACCAGAGGTATATTTAAAACATGGTAAGTGTTTTATTATCTAAGTTTAGTAAATAATACCATTTAACTTTTCTTTTTTTTAACGTTAATAAATAACAAGCTTATTATTAATATAAGTAAGGTTATGTTCACGGACTGTTGTTTTATTTATTATTTATATTTATATAATAGTGGTAAATAATAATATACTTTCATTATCTTATTCAATAGGCAACTTTAAAGGCTGACAATCCCGAAAAACCCAGACTAGAACAGTTTGTAATACATCGTATTAGGATCACCCTTACTTCTCCTAATGTTCGATCCTTAGAGAAAGGTAAATCTATATAGATTTAGAGAATAGTAACATTATACATTAAAGCTTCTGTAATTTGAAACAACTTTTGTATATTTTTATAGTTTGCGCCGAGTTGCTCGGTAGTGCTAAAAGGCAAAAATTGAAAGTAAAAGGACCCGTACGTATTCCAACTAAAATCTTACGCATTACAACTCGCAAAACACCATGTGGAGAAGGTTCCAAAACGTGGGATCATTTCCAAATGCGCATCCACAAAAGAATTATTGATCTATATTCACAATCTGAGATTGTCAAGAAAATTACCAGCATAAATATTGAAACTGGGGTTGAAGTGGAAGTCACTATTGTTAATGAATGCTAATTTTTATTAAATAAGTTATTTATTTATATAAAACTTATGTTTCAATAAAAAAAAATTAACAGAAATATTGATCCTTTTAATTACATTATCTTTTACTACACATTGATCTATTAGCTAAAATGACTGAATCCTAAAATTCAGTACAGAATATTTCATTTTAAATAAAGCTTGACAAATAATAAGTTACATTAATGCAAAATAAATTAGTAGATGTTTAATTATTGTAAAACAGTTTTCTATATAGAAAAAGACGCAAAAGCTGTGTTTATATTTATTTGTAAAATTATGTTGTACATTATGAAATTTAATATTTGTGAGTGAAAAAGTAGTCTGATGTTGCGACTGACTTTAATTTACTGTACAAAAATGTTTTGTTAAAATTAATAAATTTAATCTTCCTCCGCAGATTCATCTTTTTTTTCATCATTATTTTCTTCTCCACCACTGAAATTACCCATGCCTTCATTTTCTTCCTCATCATCATCACCAGCAACTTCAGCATTTTCAAGTTCAGCTCTTTCCATTTGTTTTGCCAACTCAGCATCATCAGTTGCTGTTACAACTTTAGGCTATAATGAAATTTGAATATTACTTGTATTGCTATTATTGCAACGAGAAGATAATAATAGCAATAAAAATATATACTCACGGCCATTTGAACATCAAAATGACCTCCCATTGACGTAATTTTTTCTCTTATAACTTCAATAGCATCATTTAATGCCTGCAAACCATCAGTTTTCTCTGGAGTAGATGTAGTCATAACATATAATGGAGGCGCTATAAGATTGATTTTAATCGGAAGCTCTTCTGTGGAAAGTGCTAAACCAGCTTTTAAAGCAGCTTTGACAGCATCTATACCTTCATAACCATAACAAGCAACTTCAACATCTGCTCTTATCTTTACTGCTTGAGAAGTTAATTTCCTCTGGATATTATTCAATAAAACTTCTTTTGTTTTCTCATCTAAATCACATTCCGCTAATATAGATGGATCCCTACAATAAATATTTGTTGATTATCACATCACAGGAAAATATTTGATTTAATAAAACTTACAATACTGATTGTTTGAAGAAGTCATAAGCAGAAGCTTTCTGTTTTTTATATTTTTCTTCAAAATACCATGCTGTCTTTTGATATAGTTCTTCTAACTGTTCATCAGTTTCATAATGTAATAGTTCAGCAACATGTCTCAGAATGGAATTTACTGCTTTTGCTTTTGCATATCTCTCTGTACATTTTTCAACGTCTTCAGGTGATACTCTTCGTTTACTTAAATCAATGTAACCTGAAAATGAAATCAATTTATTATCTATGAATGCATAAATATTTATTAAATAATAATCGATTTTATATGTAGAGATATTGGAAGAAATTATAAATGACTTTTTTTGGCATTACCTTTTTCTTTGTCAACACGAATGACAACAACTGGTTCTGTTTTGCCTACCCTAATTAATTTGTTAATAGAACGAATACGTCTCCTGGATAACTCAGAAAGTAAAATCATACCCTCTATGTTATTGTATTCAAGTAGATGCACATATGCACCCATTTCAGCTATACTACGGACATTGACCATGACAACATCCTCCACCTCGGGGTACTTTTCTTTATAAAATCTACACGATAAAACCATTTTTCCTGTAAAAAGCATATGATTATTTAAAATACCTTGAATTAAACAAATTAAAAATAATACATCAGTAAAATTATGTTGATCCTTATCAGAAACTGTAAGTTTACAATAGTTTTAGATATAATTTTTACATACAGTATTCACGTACTGAGTATAAATTGAACAAATTAAATGAATATTTACTTTTGCTCCTAAACATTAAGCATATGCATAGTGTTCAAATTGGTTAAGTTCATAGGTTAGCTTGATTGAATGACGAAAAACAATGACAATACAGAAACTATGAGTCGGAAAATTGAATAAAACTTACAACAATAAATTGACACTTTTGCGGCACTTATCCAAACCTAATCGAAATGACACGGGATTAAAAAAAAATCGTTAATAATCCATGTGCAATCTTGACTGCTGACGACTGATGCAACAGAGAGAACATGATCCAAGACCTGCTCTCATAGCACACAAATTTGACTTGATGTAGATTTGTGAAATTACAGCTGCGAATTGACAATATCGATTAAATAGACACCCGTTTAGTAGGCATTTAGTAACATGTTAAACTAAAATTATAATTTAGGCAATAATGAGTATTTGAATCCTTAGAAAATAGAACATTTTCCTATATAAAAATTTAATTTCTTTATCTATAACTTTTGTTACTCCAAAACGTGTTCAATTCATGTTTTCTCATACCAAAAATACAGTATATAGAAAATGTATATAGAAGAATCATAAGTTACAATATACATTGAAAAATGATATTTGTTAATACCAAATAGATAACACTTTATTTAAAAAATAGTAAATATGTTTAATAACAAATTTAAATTTACCGCTCACTAAACTATCACTTCATTTACCATAGATAGAGTGAGTAGAGCTATAGTCATCAGTCAATAGTCAGCTAGAGCAGCTTCGCCGGACACCGCGAACGGCAGTGACGGCACGGACTCACGCGGCGGACTGCATAAGATACAGTCCACGGACCACGGTCCTCATTCAGCCACCGTGGCGCTGACGACGACGATAACAATACAAATTTCATTTTTCAAGTGTGCGGGTCATGTACGAATGCGCAAGCATATTTTATACACACATACACACGCACAACGGAAACGAAACAAAAAAAGCAGGCCAAAATGATCTCTCAATTCTATTCTACATGTGATCAGGCCTGCATATATGACACAATCGAATTCGAGTGGTGATTAACGAATTTCGAACTACTCCAGGGAGTGTGTACCTGATACGATATATATGTAATTATGGTTGGACGCGTGTCGAGCTAAGTAATTTAATATTTGAATAAAAGTGATAATGACACGGGTAGGTTAGAATTTTCAATATTTCATTTCACAACGAAACAATCGGTGAGATATAAGAAGGCATAGAAAATTTTCCTTGAGTATGTCAACGTCAACAATTATGCAGACCTAATGAAAGTATCCAAGATATCATCAAAATTGAAATGCGACAGTCGACGTCGACGAGCGAGCGAAAGAGATAGAGAACGCGTAGAATCGTCGTCGTGTCAAGAGCAAGTCGCACGTACCAGTGTTCGCAAACAATAGAATTAATTGTTACATCGAAAAAACGGCGAAAAGAGCAGGTAAATCAAATTTTTATTTCTTAGCATATATTAAAAGCTTTTAAAGCAGCGCTCTGTATTGCTGACATTCTTCTGCTGACTCGTCAAATGAGGTTTATTGACTTGGCTTGAATACTACAATCAATAATAATCAATTGCTAAATCATAGAAGAATGCTATCACTATTTACGTATTGATTTTGAAGTAATGTTTTTCAAATTCACACGTCCTTGCTTGTCCAAAAATGATTCGGCAGCGATTAAACCATTTGTAGGTCATTGTCAATTTATGCATCAAATATAACATATCAAGTAACTCTAACCCAACTCACTGAACTAACTTGCAAGTGATATAGATATAGCTCAAGTACAGATGAATATGACCTATTTTGATGTATGAATAATGTGATGTCTTAATTCATTACTTTATTTCTAATTTTAATCAATGAAAGTACAACTAATTTAACTTATTTTATTTTTCAGATGTTTATTATATGCAATAGTTGAGAATGATACTGAAACATTTAAAACATAGAAAACTATACTAATTTTACTATAACACAATATAAACTATAATTATTTCTTATTGTTTTTACTATCTGTAATTGACCTAAGATCTAGTTTCTATTGCAAATCTTCACACATTATCAAGTACCAATAAAAAAATAATTAATTACATAATGCATACAAACTAGATACAATCACTTTCATTTTAATAAGTTAGCGATTGTTTACTTTTTGTAGCTTGTTTTTTTTTATGTTTTCATTAGCTAGTCATTTTTGAAATTTGTCCAAATTATCAATAAATTTATGTTATATCAATGAACCTTGGAATATTGAATTTTTCAGTAGTAATTAATTCTATGAATCATACCTCTCTAGGTCGCATAAATGCCTCTCGTCGCAACAAACTGTTCGCACACCGAGGGTCTCGGTGATCTTTCGATCGTCGAAGACGTGGTGAATGGCCATGAAACGTTTGATAAATGCGTCGAATGCGACAACAAAGGATATAACCTATGGCTATGTCTCTATCCGGACTGCCGATACGTTGGTTGCGCCGAGCAACATCTCGATCACAGCACTCTTCACAATCGTAAATTGTCTTCGCATTCAGCTCACATGAATTTATCATCCAATCGAATCTGGTGTTACTCTTGTCAATCAGAAGTTCACACTGCTCGCGTTCCTGCGTCTATGCTTTCATCTAATCAGATTGATCTTAAGCTTGCCAACAAGTTTTCTGGAGATGCCTCGGTTAGCATTGACTGCAAGCTTGAAAATTATGAATTTCATCAGAGGTTTGTTAGAAAGTGAGCATTTGATGTACTGTGTACACTTTGTGTCACTTTTTTTACATTTTTTTTGTAGTATATGCACCATACGTCATTAAAATCTAAATATTTATCACTGTTTCTTTTAGGTTCATGGATGAAAACAATATGGGAAACCGAATCATTGCAGACCAAGGAGACCCATTTATTGAACGAGCAGATGATTCACCTGACTGTTCAGATTTGGATGAGAGTGAAGATTATGCCGGAAAGCCAAGAGGATTAGTGGGTTTACAAAATATTGGCAATACTTGCTACATGAATTCAGCATTGCAAGCTTTATCGAATGTGCCACCTTTGACGCATTTCTTTACTGATTGTGGTCATATGGTTTCCAACATCACTCGAGAACGTAAACCTACATTAAGTTTGAGTTATTTAAAACTTGTCAGAGAAATATGGAGTAGAAGAACCAGAGGCTTTGTAGTACCTCATGCTATCCTTACTAGCATACGAACAGCTCACCCTATGTTTCGAGGTATAGTAAATTACATTGTTTTGAAATTTTTCTATATTAATCATTTCAATTTACGTTTTTCTTTATCGGTAGGTTATCACCAGCATGACACACAAGAGTTCCTACGTTGTTTCATGGACCAACTTCACGAAGAATTGAAAGAGATCGTAGAAGAAGATCGTGAGGGTGGTTTACGATTAAAAAATCTCGGTGAGCCATCTTCGGACGAAGAGGAAGCAGAAGTCGACGGTGCAGGATCGAGCCAGTCGGACGGCGAATACGAAACTTGCGACTCAGGAGTGAGCGAACAGAGCTCTCTAAGCGACGAAGGCGATCGAGGTATGAAACGCAGGTATTCTAGGGTCAGTCAAAGTGAAAAGCAAAGAAGCAAGTTCAGTAATCGTTGTGCGAAAAAAGGCTCGGTCGACGTTGCCTACTCGCAGCAACAGAGGTCTCCACAGAGTTCACCCGCCAAGCATCGCTCAAAGAAGCAAACGAAAACACGTAGTATCATCAGCGATATATTTGACGGCAAACTTCTAAGCAGTGTACAATGTCTCACCTGTGATAGAATATCTACACGGATCGAGACTTTCCAAGATTTGTCATTACCCATACCTAGTCGAGATCACATCGACATGTTGCACCAAGGCTCGCTCACCCCACAGAAAGCAGGGCCATGTTCCGACGTTGTGTACGTGACTAATCAGTCGGGTTGGTTCGCCTGGTTTGGCTCGATGTTCCAATGGGTCCGATCTTGGTTTTGGGGCCCAGTGGTCAGTTTGCACGATTGCCTGTCAGCATTCTTCAGCGCAGACGAGCTCAAAGGCGATAACATGTACAGCTGCGAAAAGTGCAATAAACTGCGTAATGGTATCAAGTTTTCCAAAGTTCTCGAGCTACCCGAGGTTCTGTGCATTCATCTCAAGAGGTTCCGACACGAACTTATGTTCAGCTCTAAAATCGCAAGTTATGTGTCTTTCCCATTAGATAATCTCGACATGCGACCTTATTTGCACAAAGATTGCGTCTCCAAGGTTACTACTTACAACCTCATATCAGTAATCTGTCATCATGGTACGGCTGGTGGGGGACACTATGTCTGCTACGCCTTGAATGCTATCACCAATCAGTGGTTTGAATTCGACGATCAATGTGTCACTCCTGTATCGCCGGAAACCGTGAAGAACTGTGGAGCTTATGTATTGTTCTACAAAAAGAGATCGAAAGATATGATGGATTTACGTCGGGAAACAGTTGATCTCGTTGAGAGATGCTCGAAGGAACCGTCTGAGGTTAACTATTTTGTTTCTAAACAATGGATCAATCGATTTAACACGTTCGCAGAGCCAGGACCGATCGACAATTCTGATTTCTTATGCCCTCACGGTGGAGTCAACCCAGCGAGGGCCAAATTTGTAGATAAACTTTGTACGCCTATTGCTCAACCTGTTTGGGAGTTTTTATTTCAAGCGTCAGTTTATTTACCATTTTAATATTCAATATAATTATTTGAAGAGAAATTAATGATTTGCTTTTTATAATTATATTATCTTTAGATTTGGTGGTGGACCAGTTTGTACGCATTTATATGAATGCTCAGTTTGCGAGGAGAAAAAATATGAAGCACTAGAGAAGCGTCGATTCTATGAACAAGAGCTTTTGAACCAATTGAGTCGTTCAGATAATCCAAATGCTGCTTATGCTCTTGCTTGGTTTAGGCAATGGCAGACCTATCTTAAAAATAAGGAAAGTCAGTCTTCTGGACCAACAGACAATAGCTTCAATGTTGTAAATAGGTGTGGTCAAACTGTTTTGAAAGTTGGTAAGTAATTTCCAATATATAACACACCGTCATAATAGCACAGAAGATTTGGTACTCGAAAATTATATATTTATAAATACTTTGATTGTAGGTTCTGAGTATAGTCCAATACCAGAAGATGTTTGGCAAGCCATTGTAAATACGTATGGCAGCGGTGCTGAAGCAATGCATCATTCGAGTCAACGACCAGCACCTACGCATTCGAGTATTCCTACACATTCCACAGCAAGTCTAAATCTCGTGGATCAAAATCCAAAGCTCAATCGTGTACCAGGCAAATTGAAGCAATCGACAAGCGCTCTCGATAAATTAGAAATGATGCAGGAAAGCAGCGTACCAGCTGAAAACAATTCAGTTATAAACAGTGATATTCAGAAAGTGTCAAGAGAAGTTAACGGTTAAGAATTTGCCCATATCTTTCTATTTTATCGTCTGCAGATTTTCGCAACTCATTTGATTGTACCATAAAAATTAATCGATGCACTAAGTACATTTTCTTTGGCAGTAAATATTTAAGTTTTGACAAACGAACATATTAGTTTCACTCTATTTTTTAATTAATAGACTAATCACTATTTTAGTGAAGTTTTACTATTCATTGTTTATTGATTTGTTTCCATTTGTAATTCTTTAACATCTTATTTCGTTTTTATTTACAACCTCGCAAAGAGTTGTATAAAAGTGTAAATAACTAGTAAATGTGTAAATGAATTGCAAAAGTCGATAAAATAGAGCTTTCGCATTACTAAATATAATGATCCACAGATTAGCATGTTGAGCTTTCTTTAAACTTGTAAAAAATTGTTGTGAGGCTCATTTGATTTCATTTGGGATTCTTTTGAAACGGAGAATTTTTGATTGAAAGTAAGATGATAAATTTATTAAGTAGCACGCTTGTACAAAGAAACGCAAATGAATGAAATTCCGAGCACTTCGGCCAAATTAAGAGCGTTCGATTTTGAGTCATCTCCCACGCGTGAGAGAAAAGAAAGCCTCTTTTGCTATATCTTGAATAATTTGTTTGAAGCGAGACTTGAAATACTGCGATATAGAAAGACCTTTAATAATGGCTAGCAATGAAGTCAATTTAAATTTTCATTTTATTACTGAAGCAACTAATTGAACGATGTCGTTTAATATTTGTAATTTTAAGGTATAGTTGTGTTTTTACCACTACTACTACTACTGCTGCTGCTGCTGCCGCTGCTGTTACTACTACTGCTACTATTACTATTACTACTATGGTGTTCAGCATTTTGTCTTTTTTCACTATTTTCCCATAATGTCACTTATATACAAAACTATTTTGAGCAGTACTGCTCTTTTAAATTGGCATTTACGTTAACATTCTTACCGAACAAGATTGAAAAATACGCCTGTACGGTAAACTGGAAAGAACAAAAAGACTGACAATTGCATAAAACTAAACATTAATTTAGTACGTTTCTGAAAATCTATTATTTCTTTTATGTTAATGGAAGTCTATGAAAAAAAAAATTATGTCAAAACTGGCTTAAGTTATCATGAAAGAGGGTATATATAGAGATGAACAAATCATAGGAAAAAATGCCAAATATAAACGAGAAATACTACACTTTATGTTATAAATTTATTCGTTTATTGTGCTATATGTAAAATAGTTATTGTAAAGTGTTTCAAGGTGTGAGGTGAAGGAAATTTATTGTTGAAAAAATAACACGTTCAATGCTATTGTAATATTTGTTAGTGCATTGATTATTTAATTTTTCTGTCGGTTGCTCGATAAAACTTATGGAATTTTTGTTAATCGCTAAGCCTTTTTGTTCTGCGAAAATAAATGTAAAAAATGGATAAATGCTAAATTTAGTCAATTGTTTCTTCTAGGTATTAGAAAAAAATAAGTTCAGTAACTGGTATAATTGAATAGTGGCTAATTGTGGGATTGCGTTGAGAATTGAAAATCATTCGTACTATTGATCAATTACGATTGTGAACTATAATATAAGCTAGGAAATAAAGAATTTTTTTATTTATTAATCACTTTATTTGAAAGCAGATATCATCATACTTCCTCTTAGACAATCAAAAATAAATAAAATTTAATAAGAATACTAAAGAAGTCATTAATAATATATTTTTTTTGCGATGATAAATGGTTGAAATGTATATATCTCATCTACTACAAATAATATCTTTTACGCTCTTTGAAATAAAATCCGTAAAGTACAGTAACAGGTGGAATTCAACAGTATTCAATTCTGTAAAATTTACCGTAGCACAAAATCTTTTGCAAAAAAGTGTATATTTTTAATTTTATTATTAATTATTGCTTAAGAATAAATTGGGTTGTCGTTAGAGACTACATCAAAAAACGTCTTGTTCATCCGCAAAAATTCCATCGATTAAAAATCAAAAACGGCAAAAATAAAGTCTGAGCAAACAAGCTCGAAAGTAATCGCGGGGTAAAGAAAAAGCCCAATAGCGAAAGGAAAACAAGGGAAAGAGAAGGAGGGTGAGCAATCGGAGGGAGCACGCGCGCGCGCGCGCAAAAGCAGGTGAAGAATCGATCGTACGTACGCGTGAGGGATGCTGCGCGACTGTCTATTCTGATCCGTAGCGGCCCAACGAACAGTAGCAGCAGAGCCTCATCATCACCACCCCCTGCAGCTGCGGATGCCGCGATTAAAGTGACATCTCCTCTGCTCTCCTCTCACCAATTCAACTCGCAGTAGCTCTCCTCGGCCATTGTCAAGAAAAAAGTCAAGATCCGTGCTTTCGTCAGCCAATTGGTTTCAATTCGATATTTGGACGGTCGCTGTCGCAAAGCGCCCATGAGGGAAGCTCGCGCAAGTGCCCCTTGCCGAATCAGCCATCTAAGAAGGGCTTCGGCCTGATCGATTCTCGCTCTCTGCTTTCGCTCTTCTCTCAGAGAGCACATTATCTTGTAAGTATCCTTCCCTTTTACTCCTCGTTTTCTCTCTATGCTCGCGTGTTTCGAGACATTTGCGCGAGTGACCTTCGCTGTCGCAACGACACGTACGAAAACTTGATATCCTTGATTGTGAGAGAACGAGTATGGACTCGATTCGGCAGATCGTTGGAGGGTAACGGATTTCCCGAGATAGGAAGCTTTCATTGCACTCGTCTGGCCAATTTATCAGACAGTTAATTCGATTAGACTCGAACGGAGCATGGCTGTTCTCGCTCCCGAGATTTTTTAATCAATGTGAAGCAGCGCAAAGAGCACGGCGAAACTTACTGGCCTCAACGACAATATTTCGCGCGGCATGAGTGTTTCGACGCGAATGATCTGCTTTCTTCATTCTGCTTTAATTCGAAACGGTGGCAAGGGAAAACATCGAATCGCGGTGTATCGAAATTTCATTGCTCGCGCATTTCTGTAATTTTTTTAAGCACGCGCCATATGAATTTGTACGAACGCTTCTGGTCCGGTGAATTCATCACGCCACGGCAATCTATCATCAACGCTCGCGCATTGTCGGGAAGTTTCAAATTAAATTCATCGCGCTTCACAATACACAAGAGACTTTGCCTCCAAACAAATTGTTAGCTGCTCGATACTATATTCACTCGAATGAATTTGCTGCCAGGCGTACGCGCACCTTGCAATAAAAAGACCATTTACGAGTAGAAAGCCAATAGAGTAAAATTATAAATACGCGTTTTCCAATCAATCGCTCGTGGGAAAAGTTGTGCACGCTGAACGAGAGCGATGGAACGTACATGTATGCACTTCGCTGCAGGTCAATCAGTGAAAGATGGCGCAGTTCAAAGGATTCTACATACCCTCGTTCAGCGCGACGGTGAACGTCGCGTGGGAAACGGTCAAAGCCTTGTGGCCGGAGAACAGTCCCTGCATGGAATTGTTGCGAGGTCCGAGCTCCGGCCAAGCTGGTGGCTACGATCAGCAGTTTCGCGAGGGTGTCGATGGCGCTGAAATGACGACCTTGAATAACGGCGCCGGCACGTCATACACTGGCGAGAAGCACGTGACTATGGCCGAGGAATCATTCAGCTATCAACGGAGTGGGTGAGTATCCGTGAGGGCTGCTGCACGACGAACTTCGCAATAGTAATTGGTATCGAATTAACGTTCGTCTTTTTGCCGTTTGTCAGAGACAAAATTAGACAGGGGAGTGTCAGTAGCGGCTTCAGCGAGTACGACGAAGGGGGTGGTGAATTTGGCTCTGGCACGCCAATCAACGAATGGCAGGCCGCATGGAATGTTACCAATGCTATTCAGGTATTAATGTTATACCATCGTTGCCTTGCTCCCTATCTCTTTCTTTCTATATTTTCATTTTCGAAAAGTTGAACACCCAAGTTCCTTATTTATTTTTAATTTTGTACTAGGAGATTTTAATAACCATGCGACTTTTATTAGGAAAATAAAATAATAATTTCGATGTCGTTGAAGACGACTTTCATAGAACGTCACAACCTGGAAAGAAAATTTACACGTGCCTGTTATGCTTGTGTTTAGAGAATACGTGTAAATTTTCTCTTTTCCTAAATAAAAAAATCTCATTCATCCGACTGGCAAGTAAAACTTTATTGTATGTTGACAGTACAAGAATTTTCTTACATGCTAGTGTCGAGTTATAAATTTTCTTTTTTTTCCTTTGCATGCACTTTTTCTATAAAGTAGTTTTTGGCTTTTAAATAAAATACTTGTTGAAAAATTCATTTTGTTTGTAACATACTATAAACTATTGCAAACAGTTTGTTCTTAAAAATCGTTGCTCGATAGTAACTCAATGTTTCAAATTTATTAAGAATCAATATAGGATGTCGTAGAAAACATTTTCATACGGAAGAGTTTAAGAAATTATTGCATTATTATGCACGATAATTATTTTTGAAAATTTTGTTTATATAAATACGTACCTTTGAAATTTTTTATTAATATAATTATTAAATTATTCATCGATTTGATAGTGTTTTAATTATTTAATATTTTAATACGCAAGTTATTGCACTATAAAGCAAGCCTAATTGAAATTTGTAAATAGCACTTTAATGAATCTTAATATTCGATGGAAAGATACTTAGTGTACTATAAAAATTCGTCAATAAAATTCATAATTTTAAATTCAACTTACGGCGAATCCATCTGAGTTATTTAATAGGATTATGTGTAATGCAGGAATTAAAAAATTTGAATGTGTTAAAGCTAGTTGAAATTCGAACAACAAAAAATAAATTAACTATCAGTGGTTAAAATTTTGTGGTTATTCGTACGTTTACAAGACATAACTTTTGGTGTCCCTAAATTGCCAAATTCCGAACACAAGGAATTCAATAAAATTATAAAAATTATCACTTTTCTCAGTAAATCAAATATACTTCAAGACTGAAATGCGATAGCCAAAAAGTATAATTTTTTGAAATTTTCTTGAATATTTTTAGTGTATATAATTCGAAAACGTATTCTTGTAATTAAAAAACATACTTATCCAAAGGTTAAAGATTTTCCACATTATTAAATGTTTGAATTAACTCATGTGGTTTGGCCGTAAATGCTTGCTTGTTTAACTTTTATTTAATATTTATAATAAAAGATGCTTTGTATGAAAGTAAAGCTTCATAAAAAATAATGATAGTGCTTTAGTCATTCGTAACAGTTTTGCAAAGAGGCAGACAATGTTTGATTAGTTTTTCATTCTAAATATTAAAGCAGTTACAAGTGCTTAGTCATGTTTGTTATATATCTATTGAATGGTTGGAAAAGAGCGTACCTTTATGGAAAAAAACCGCAAGTCGATCGCGATTGCAATGCAATAAGATCCGAGTTTAAAAATAAAATCAGGATCAACTTGACGCAGTTATTTTCCTAACGTATGTTTGAGCTCTTCCCGTTAATTGCATCGGACAGTTTGAAAGCGTTAAAGTTCAATAGGAAGGTAGTCGCTCTCGCGAGGTAATCGTATAAAAATCCAACGTGTTGGCATGTCTTAGGGCATGTTCATCGTGTCGCTGCCGTTCGCGGTGCTACGCGGTGGTTACTGGGCGATCTTCGCGATGATCGGAGTGGCGCACATCTGCTGCTACACCGGCAAGATCCTGGTAGAGTGCCTGTACGAGGTGGACGTGGCGACGGGCCAGCGAGTGCGAGTACGTGACTCGTACGTAGCCATCGCCAAAGAGTGCTTTGGACCACGAGTCGGCGCCCGCATCGTCAACATCGCCCAGATAATCGAGTTGCTGATGACCTGCATCCTCTACGTGGTGGTGTGCGGCGATCTGATGATCGGTTGCTTCCCCGAAGGTGCCATAGATACGCGCAGCTGGATGATGCTCATCGGCATCTTCCTGGTGCCTTTGGGATTCCTCAAGTCTCTGCACCACGTCTCAGTGCTGAGCTTTTGGTGCACGATGGCTCACTTATTCATCAATGCAATCATTATCGGCTACTGCATACTGGAGATCGGCGACTGGGGCTGGTCGAAGGTCAAGTGGAGCATCGACATGGAGACATTCCCGATCTCCCTTGGCGTCATCGTCTTCAGCTACACGTCGCAGATCTTCCTGCCCACCCTCGAGGGTAATCTCATCGATCGCAGCAAGTTCAACTGGATGCTCGATTGGAGTCACATCGCCGCCGCGGCCTTCAAGTCGATATTCGGCTGGGTCTGCTTTTTGACCTTCCAAAACGACACTCAGCAGGTAAGACTCCTCAAAAACTGCGCCCAGTCCCAAGGCTTCTCAAGCGTCCTCACATGGCCTTCCTCAGATATACACACCTTTGCTTGCAAAAACCAACCAGTGCGTAATGTTACAATGAATAATAATTTGTACCGAAACAGGTAATCACGAACAACTTGCACTCGGCGGGCTTCAAAGGCCTAGTGAACTTCTGCTTGGTATTGAAGGCCATGTTATCGTATCCGTTGCCCTACTACGCGGCATGCGAGTTGCTCGAGCGCGCCTTGTTCCGGGGCAAGCCAAAAACCCCGTTCCCAACGATTTGGACGCTCGATCGCGAGCTCAAAGTCTGGGGATTGGCATGGCGAATAGGCGTAATACTCTTCACCATCCTCATGGCCATCTTCATACCGCACTTCAGTATTCTCATGGGCTTCATCGGCTCGTTCACCGGCACCATGCTCTCCTTCATCTGGCCGTGCTATTTTCATCTCAAACTCAAACGCAACTCGATGGACAGCAAGGAAGTTGCCTACGACTGCTTCGTCATCTTTCTCGGTGTACTGTTCGGTGTTATTGGCGTTTATGACTCGGGCAAGGCCCTTATCAAGGCCTTCGAAATCGGCTTGCCGTTTTAGGCTCGCCGACTTCCCATAGTCGCCAAGTTTTGTTGCTCCGCATCGATCACCTGGCTTCGCTTGTAGGTAACTCGCGTTATGTGCTTATTAAGATGTTTTGGCTGTCTTTCGAGCTTGGAACGAAGTGATGTTAAAAACACAATTTTATTTGTCTAACTCTTCTGAAATTCTTCTTTTGTTATTTTTTTGTTTTTGTTGAGCCGACGTATCACGAAGTGGTGTCATCTTTTATAAACAAAATGTTGTATATTGACTGACAATGTCGAGATTTTTCATGTGTTGTCAAATGTTGAATAACTGATTTTTAACGAAACAATTGTGTAAATATTGAAAATCCAGCGTCTTCCAATGCAATATTGCATGAAGTAATTCAAAACACGGAAACTACTTTAGGTACACACGTATTACAATTTCAATCATTTACAAATGAATGTCATCAATAATAACAGAAGAATAGAATTTTCTTTTGCTTATTCTCTATTTCAACAATGTCAATTAAAATTGCCCGATCTTGATAATCAACAAGCCTTCAATTGAGTAAGAGATGATGTAAGATTACATTTGATTGTCGATCGATCTGCAATAGCAACAAATTATTTATAACCAAGAAATAGATCAATTTATTTTTTATCTGATATTATAATATTTATAGAATTTATCTAATGAACACTAACTGATCCTCCAAAGGTGATCACTTCGGTTCGAGCGGTGATTTGTCAAAATGAAAGTTACCTACACAGCGAAATCATTGTCGTCAATGCAAAACAACTTTTATCCGTTCATGCGCCTGAGTATTTATTCGTGGTATTTGAAAAAATATATATAACAGCTGAAAAGAAAACCACGAAACAAATGAGAGTGTACATCATAGAAAAAGAAAGAAAAAGCTTCAACGAATGATGCTATACCTTGCGGCCGTACTTTCTATCGATTGACTTGGCGTGAAAGATTTTTACTTTTCACTTTTCTTATGCATGTACAGATTTGAGGCCTTGATGATTCGAATGATACTGTGTTCAATTAATTTATTGCATAGTTGTATCAACTAAATTTAGTTATTTATGTTTAAATTACACGTGATTTTTCTAAAATTCTCGTAAAGCAAAATAAAACGTAAAAATATATTACGCCAAGAGTTCTGCATCGATGTAAGTCTGTACCGCTAAAGTAATTAGCGATGGTATTAAAACAAGCGTTGCTTTATAAATAGTCTTCCAAAAATGTCTTCCAAATGACACACTAAATTCAAGAAAAATATTAGTGAAAAAAACTATAACAGAAATTAAGCGGTGTGCGTAATGTGTCAGACAATAAATAAACGAAAGAGACTGGAAAATTTTAAATGAAATGAAATTAATTGTAAATTTAGAGGTTTGTTTTTATTTCTTGCGGTTACTATCTTATTTAATAATATCCTATCTACAATTGATTTCAGCAAAATGTTAATTAATAAAAATGTAATTACATTCTTACTAGACGAATATGCGTGGTTAGTAAATCAACAATTTAGTATCAATTATCAAATAAATAAAAATTGATGGTTGGTCTCACATGGGTTATAAAAACGGACTATATAAAAACTGTTGTGTAAGTTAAATCACAAATTTTATAATTATATCGAATATAGCTTTCGAATTGTAACACAATAGAAAAGCGTTGATCGCTAGTTTAATCTGAATGACCGAGGAGTGTAGTTATTATCGTGAGTTGCCTTCTCGTAATTTCGTATTATTTTAAAAAAATCATTATTCACATCCGCTATGTAAACGGAGAATTGAGATAGTGTCCACTCCACCGATTTAGTGGTTATCATTCTCCAAGAAATACGAGCAATGACTCATGTAAGCTGATCTCTCGCTCTTCAATACACGCGCATTGTAAAATTTCACATGTTCAATACATGTGTATGAGCAGTTACACGAAAAATATCTATTAATATTCCGTTTGAGTTTTTAACAATTTCAAATAGAGGGCACGCGCCTAATTTTTATACTTTATCATTTTATGAGATATTCAAAACTAAAAGAATTGGGCTCGACATTCCATAGAAGAGCGGAAATTCATACTAAAGAAACCGTGATATTTTATGACCTCTTTAATCCAACTTCAAATTCGAATTTTGCCTGTCAATACACGTAGGAAACCATATTTCGATTGATTTTTTTATTTAACATTTCGATCTCTGGAGAACTTTGAAAACGGTAGCCGTGGATAAAAAACTCATTGATAATGAAAGTGCCAAATTGACGTGTTTAAGCTAACTTTATGTGATCAAAACTCAGCAAGAATCAAAATATCGTGCAGAAAATAAACCAAAACAGGCTTTCCGATATATGTTGACCCGTAACATACGAATTGAAATTCTGATTCTCGCTACGTTTCTTTCCGTTAAATTAAAAAAATACATATGTAAAAGTTCATGGAAAAATTTATTATTGTTTTTATTGACATAAGCACTTCCGTGGGAACAGAAAGGGTGTCACGATCATGCACCAAGTTACGACTCAAGTTATTTTCGGATAGGCCATGCTTTCTGGAATGATAAAATAAAAAAATTAAGAGCATGCACCTCTAAAATTTTTCGACACTCCGCGTGTGAGGAGGACTCGACTTTACGCGCGCTCGAGTTATCGAGCATGCTTACAATCTCGTGCCATACGCATCGTATCGAAAAATGATGTTAGATACACGTGCGAGAAAATAATTTCACCATCACAGTCTGTTCACCCTCGTTTCGCTCGGGCGCAAACGTCCACAAGAGGATCAAATCACTTTCTCGCACTGGTATCCAAACGTACTATTGTGTAATCGTAGCGTTTTGTAAAACTGCTTATATGCCATTTTATTAAAGTCAAATAGAAAAAAGTACAAGATCTTATAGTTTAGAATATGAATCTAGAAAATGCGAATCCGTCGCTTGATGTATAATTGAGACAATGAAAAAATACGTATGATCACAAGTCTTCCACAATGCATTTTTCTGTATAAATAAACATATGCCAATTGATCCATGCAGTAGATAAATTTTTCCATGTTGAAACACGCTTGTCTTTCAAAAATTGACAAGCACTAAAGAATTGACCCGACGTCTTCCAGTCTATTGACGTGCATATTTATCTATGAACTTAAATCAACAGTTTAGATATAAATAAAACGAAACAAATATTAATGACATTAGATATAAGTTAAAATAATAGAATAGACGTTAGTAAATTTTGTCACGAAAATATGTATTATTTCAACGATAAAAAAATGCTTTTTTTTATTTTACACGTATTCAAACTTGACTTGGTTTGATGACATTTGAAAAACTTTTGTTACTTAGTATACCTTCAGTACAAAATGTAACTCGAATCTCCAGTTCCCTCGTGGAAATGATTTCCCGTGTCAGAGTTACTATATTGATGAATAGATATTCCTTGAATAGTATTACTATTTAAAATATTCCGGTTAGGGAAACATTTTCATGCCTACGATATATATGTATGTATATATATATATATATACATATATATATATATATACACACACACACACACAAAGCGAGTATATACGAAACAATGTCTTCCAAGGATAAATGGTGTAATTATATTATAAATAAATATACATCAAAATATATTATATATATTTGCGTTGAGATCGACCGATCGTATTTAACAAAATGACTAAGTCAATGACACTATAATGAAAAAAATATATATATACTTAATTTAAATGATAAAATATTTATGAGAAACAGATTGTGTATCGAATAAGAATAAGTCGATATTAAGATATAATAAATAAGAATAAACTACGATCTAAAGAACAAGATAAACAAGCGTAACAGAAAGCAGTGAAAAAAATAAAACATAGATAGATGAACATTACGACAAGCTGCCACCGAGCTACATAACGTATTTTTTTATAGTACATATGTAGCTTGAAACATCACGGAACTTGAATTCTCACGTGCCGCTTGTTAATATTGCAACAAGAAAAAAACCATAAATATACCTATGTCTCAAGGTTTTTGAACTCAATGTATCTAAAACTACTCCCTTTCACTTCATTTGCTTCGTTTTATCCCGTAATAAAAATTTTTAAAAGTATTTTTATCTTCATTAAAAAATTTGAAAAATGTGCACTACAACCAGGCAGAATCAACAAAGTTTAATTTGTATCTATTAAGTGAATGATTGTTATAAAAAGAACTTAAACGATAAAAATATCGTTTATATCGTGAAAAATACAATCAGTCATTTTTGCTACATAACATTACGTTTAAACATTGTATAAAAATCACAAAAACGAATGATCGAAAGTGCTATTGGTACATACATTGAAAAATATAATGAAGAGCACAAAACTGTTAAATATTGTATACAAATTTGAGCAATATATGATATAGTGACGTTTTCCAAAGTTGCAGTCTTCCATTGAAAATCCATGAACTCAATGATATACTAAACACTAAAATCGTTTGCGATATTTTATCTGATCTCTTGTTAACTGTTATTAGATGTACAATTAATTATATCCTCCATTGATGATTCAAAGTTAATAGAAATATTTATTATACTGTGATTATTTCAAAGAGTGATAGATATTGAACAAGAATTATAAGATTTAAATGTTATACAGATGGTTATACATATAATAGGCGTTGTTCATCATGCGCACTGTATCACGGGCTTCCATATTATGAAAACGAAAATAAATGATAATGAAATTTTGAAGACACTTATCATTTTCTTATCCTTTCATTGTAAAACTTACAATACTCTGTTTTATTTCACTGGTTTTGAAATCTAAAATTTTACTATGATCTAAACATTTGTGCAATAATGTGCGGCAAATATCTATTTATTTTTATTGACAATTTTGAAAATACTTTAAAGTTTCATTGAAATTCTTAGAATCTTTGTTTTCTCAAGATTTTTAAAAATAGATCTAATTGAAAAAACAATACTTTCGAACAAGTACTATTCGGTCGAGATACGAAAATACTTTTCCTGCAACAGACGTGACGAATTTATAAACCGCAACTCAGAAACATAAGAAATTAAAGTCACGGTCTATTGGCAGCCGTCATATAATATAAGCATTCTTTCACGCCAGACTTCATTTTAAATATCGATAATGAAGGGGAAGAATATTATCTGCTTCTATCTATTTATATTTATTATAATCGTAAGTGATGTACTCGGTGATAAAAGTGAATCATACGAAACAGACAATTTCAGCGATGGTAAGCTTCTAAACCTGTATAATAAAGTTTAATTCTTTATTTATCTTCAAAAAAATAAATAAGTTTCTTTCAAGAACAAGATCTCCCTCGAGTCAAGATTACAGTTTTTCGTGGAGAGTTGAAAGAGGATAACGGAAAAACATATGCACCTTGGGGATTCTGGATAAAGCAGCCCAGCTAACTAATGAAATTGTGTATGGAAGAAAAAAACTTGTTTTGCTCGAATAAAAGTAATGCTCAAGCGGTTTTATTCAATAGCTATAATAATAACGATTTACTTCTTTGTGAATATCGTTAAGTAAAATTAGATAAAAACTAAGTGAACTCTGTTAAATATTCAAAATTTGTATTTAAAATATCACTGAAAATAGATGTTCTTAGATTTGAAATCTGTTTTCAGAAAAAAATACAGCATAAATTTATTGGAAATATAAATATAAAACACTAGTCAATTAATACAAGAAAATGGATTTTATTAATAGTATGGCACAAATCTCATTTTTTCATGCAATCAAATTACATATTTATTTTCTTGCTCCTTGGTATTTGGGATTGTTCGGATTCAATTGTTGGTTGTGGTTATTCAAATCAGCCTTGGTGCCTGCTCCATGATATCCGGTATTATGACCTGGACCCGATGGTGTATGAGTTGGGTTGCACTGGTTCGTACGGTTGGCGTCACCTTTGTTTGGCATCTGTAAAGTAAAAGATAAAACGTTTAGATTTATATCTCAGTAATTTTTAATTAGTGCAGAAATAAGCTGTAGTCTTTTTTTTCAATTAATTTATATAGTTTTCAAAAATATCAGATATTCTATATATGGGTAATTCTAGGCTATTTCGATTGACTTGTAACCCTTAGGTTACGGATTTTTTTTTAATTTGGCACAATTGTTGTACACATAAAACTGAGATTTTTCCCAAATTTTGGAGACGATACATTAATTATATCAAAAGTTATTAACAATTAAAGGAAAATGATAAAAAATTGTCACACAGCTATATTTTAAAAACTAATAAAGATATCGAAGTCGGATTTTTTTCAAAATACTTATAATGCCTTAAAATTTCGAAATAATTACAACAATAAACAATAAAAATTTTTTTTCGAAAGTTATTAACTTTTTGTTTAAACAATTGCTAATATCTCAAAAAGTATATTTTTTTTTGAAAAATTCTTGTTCCTACGTATTCCTGAGGATTTTTGCTATCGAAATCAATCATAAAATTCAAGGGCCCGACATATCGGAAAGCGTAGCCCTAATCAAAAGAAGACGCCTCGGCGTAAGGCTGCGGTAGCGCTCCAGCGGACTCACGGTCGAAAGGTACTTTAGCTTTAATCTAAAAAACTAATAAAGATACCGAATCGGATTTTTTCCAAATTACTTATAATACCTTCAACTTTCGAAATAATTACAACAATAAACAATAAAAATTTTTTTTCGAAAGTTATTAACTTTTTGTTTAAACAATTGCTAATATCTCGAAAAGTATTTTTTTTTTTGAAAAATTCTTGCTCCTACGTATTCCTGAGGATTTTTGCTATCGAAATCAATCATAAAATTCAAGGGCCCGACATATCGGAAAGCGTAGCCCTAATTAAAAGAAGATGCCTCGGTGTCCGGTCGCTGAGGCGTCTTCTTTTGATTAGGGCTACGCTTTCCGATATGTCGGGCCCTTGAATTTTATGATTGATTTCGATAGCAAAAATCCTCAGGAATACGTAGGAGCAAGAATTTTTCAAAAAAAAAATATACTTTTTGAGATATTAGCAATTGTTTAAACAAAAAGTTAATAACTTTCGAAAAAAAATTTTTATTGTTTATTGTTGTAATTATTTCGAAATTTTAAGGCATTATAAGTATTTTGAAAAAAATCCGACTTCGATATCTTTATTAGTTTTTAAAATATAGCTGTGTGAAAATTTTTTATCATTTTTCTTTAATTGTTAATAACTTTTGATATAATTAATGTATCGTCTCCAAAATTTGGGAAAAATCTCAGTTTTATGTGTACAACAATTGTGCCAAATTAAAAAAAAATCCGTAACATAAGGGTTACAAGTCAATCGAAATAGCCTAGAATTACCCATATATTATATAAGATTGCCGATGAAGAGATAACAGAGTTTGGCAAATTAAACACCAATTGCTACAGAGCACAGTCACTTTTTATACAAGAAATACGGTTTAAGTTCATGGCCGAACGCGCCGATCCCCCCCGATTGCTCCCCGCACCCATCCCAACAACCAGTTTTTTCTTATTTGCATTCCACTCGCTTTTCAAAAGCTCCATCACTTGCGCTCGCAAAGACGCCTTCACGCAAATCCGCCCAATAGAACATAGGCCTTTTTAGCAGCTTTTTATATATAAATGTGATTTTAATGGCACGCTCTATTCGTCAAAGGTGAATCATTACGATAACTCAAATTTTAAGTTTGGAAATATTATTTAATTTTTATTTATTGGCCAATAAAAAACTCGCAATATAAATGAATGAGATTAAATAATGAGTAAATAACTTGTCGCTCTGAAACTCTTACTTACGTTGAATGAAGATTGTCGATTATACGGAGAAAAAGTTACGAAGTGAAATTCCGTCTTGACAGGCAAGCGTACGCAAACGATCTGCTTCGGCGGTATTGCCCACACTCGTATTTATAGAGGTCGCGCGGTGCACATAAGCAGGGAAAGCACAACTGCAGTAAGATAAAGGACGTTCTCTCCAAAATCAACTTTCTTTAGATTTTGTTCAAACTTTGCAAATAACTTGCTTTTTTTTATTATTTATACAAAGAAAAAAAACTAGATGGTAGGTACCGGTACTCAAAGTCGAAATATTCGCCTTCAAAGTATGTGTAGTTAATACAGATTAGATAGGATTTACTCATTTTCGCAGTACATTTCGTTCGATTGTAAGTTCAATTTTTTTAAGATTTTGGTGAAAAACTAATATGTTATTGTATAGGATATAAGGAGTTTAATGCATCAGGTAGATACGTAAGTACCGGCACTATTTTTAAAACTATACTTTCTTGAAGTTTAAAACTTTATGAATTTTTCGACGGACTCGTAGAGAAAATATGGCGATGTGGCAACACCGCAACAGCTGGCGCTTTATCGCTCGCGTTCATTCGCTATTTAAGGGCGTTCTCTTGTGTTGTGTGGACGTTCTCTTTAATTTTGCTGTTATGCCTTGCTTATGCATTCGAACTCACGCACGTGTAGTAGTCAGGAAAGCGCTGCTGCCAAATCACATACGCGAATTCGCGTTTTTTTACTCGTGCGCATGAACTGGTGCTCAACTTATTTAATAACTTTACCGATAAAAGATCCAGTTACTTGTGGTTGTATGAGTTGAGCACGACTGTGAGAAAAAGAAAATAATACGTCCAATGAATATCGTTTATAGTTCAAATTGGATGACAAAATAAGATTTATACCGTGCTATATTAATAAGACCTATTTTCATGTATTGGTTGTTTAATGTTTTATATTTATATGTCCAATAAATTACAGTTTTTCATGGAGAGTTGAAAAAGGATAACGGAAAAACATATGCATCTTGGGGATTCTGGATAAAAACCATCGGTTAAATTTACTAACTAATGAAATTATGTATGGAAGAAGAAAACTTGTCTTACTCAAATAAAAGTAATGCTCAAGCGGTTCTATTCATTAGCTATAATAATAACGATTTACTTCTTTGCGAATATTGTTAAATAAAATAAGATAAAAATTAATTGAACATACAATTAACTGGATCTTTTATCGGTAAAGTTATTAAATGAGTTGAGCACCAGTTCATGCGCAGATGTAAAAAAAACGCGAATTTGCGACGATTTATGCGATTTGGCCGCACCGTTTTCCTGACTACTACACGTGCGTCAGTTCGAAAGCATAAGCAAGGCATAGTACAAAAATTAAAGCATTATAGTTCTTAACGAAAGCTGTTATTGTGTAATGTATACTTCATCAAAGCTGTAATATTCAAATTGAATGTGTGTATGAGTTCGCGCGCGCGGATTGTTGTGCTCGAATAAAAGTAATGCTCAAGCGGTTCTATTCAATAGCTATAATAATAACGATTTATTTCTTTGTGAATATCATTCAGTAAAATAAGATAAAAATTAATTGAACTCTGTTAAATATTCAAAATTTGTATTTAAAATATCACTTTATTTATTTTCATAAATCTTAGACTCGAAATCGTTTTTTAGAAAAAAATACAATATAAATTTATTGGAAATATAAATATAAAACACTAATCAATCAATACAAGAAAATGAATTTTATCAATAGCATGGTACAAATCTCATTTTTTCATACAATCAAATTACATATTTATTTTATATGCTCTATGGAAATTGGGATTGTTCGGATTCAATTGGTTGCTGTTGTTCTTCAAATCACCCTCGGTGCCTGCTCCATGATATCCCGTATTATGACCTGGACCCGATGGTGTATGAGTCGGGTTGCA